TAATAATAATAATAATAATAATAATAATAATAATAATAATAATAATAATAATAATAATAATAATAATAATAATAATAAAGTTGGAAGGGACCTTGGAGGTCATCGAGTCCAACCCCCTGCTCAGGCAGGAACCCTATACCATTTCAGACAAATGGCTGTCCAGTCTCTTCTTAAAAACTTCCAGTGTTGGAGCATTCACTGCTTCTGGAGGCAGGTTGTTCCATTGGTTAATTGTTCTAACTGTCAGGAAGTTTCTCCTTAGTTGGCCTACAATGCACCGTTTCACCCAGATAAAGGTTATGGGAATGAGAATTCCATTAGTACATAGATACTGTGGATCAATTCAGTTTTCAAAGGACATATGACATTGAACTTTCCTTAGAAACATCTGCCTAATGCATTTATCATTTATGGGAAACCATAATTTCTGAAACATCTATGGAAAAAAAAAAATCAACACCCTGATTTAAATCTTGGCAAGAAAGGAAGGATTTCTTTAATCCATTAAGATTCCCCACCCTTTCTCAAAAGGTATAAAAGCGTCTCTTTTGTATTTTATGCCAAAGCACATGGGTTGCATGCTAGGGGAACAACGGTTTATAACCTTTCCAGAAGAAGATATTAAGCTCCAACATCCACTAGCAAACCTACAAGTACGGCTGAAAAAAGGTAGGACTTTCAAGTGTGAGCGGGTAGAACCCAAAAGACTTTCTCGGGGAAAATCAGAAGCAAATATTCATTTCCAAATCAGGGATAATAACATCAGCTAATATGGAAAACCCCATTTCTGCCCTCTCTGGATTCTGTCATATGATGAAAGGGAAGGGGGGTGAACAAAGGGGTTTTATGGCCCTCACTTCCTTAGGCACAACTTCAAAGGGACTGAATGTGGATACCACCAAAAGGACTCATCAATAACAATGGGGCTATCAGCTTCAGCTAATCCCCTCTGAAGTCTCCCTTCCACCAGCAGTGAGGAAAAAGGGGGTGGAAATGTAACACCTGGAATTGCCGCTGGAAGGACGGTGGGGTGGGGTGGGGTGGGGCTGTTGGGAAACCCTTAAAACCTTGAACCGTAAGGCTTTGGCCCCAAGTCCTGTCTAGAACGCCTGCATCCATTTTTCCTTCATAAAGATGCCTGTTGGAAGAAATATTCCAAGAGTTCTGTCTTCTTAAGGTGCAAAGTGGGGTGGGTCCTTACAGCATTGTCACCAAGAAAATTGGAACAGCTTTGTCTTAAGAGAAAATTCCCTTTTAATCACTTAGTTTTTGTTGTGTTCTTTGTATTCCCCCCCCCCTTAATCCCCTATGCATATCCTGATCACCCATTAAGGGTGATTGCCCTTCACCATTGATCGCCCATTAAGGGTGATTGCCCTTCACCATTGATCGCCCATTAAGGGTGATTGCCCTTCTCCATCTGCATACAGTTTCATGCCCGTTGCTGGTTGGCTAACTAGCAAC